GTGCCATGCTTCCCAGCTTCTGGGCACATGTGTTCACAATCCCACATTTTTCAGAAGTGCGGCAGGTACCCCAGAAGCCAGAGCTGGGATTGGAACCGAGGGACCCTGGTGCCACAGCTGTCTGTAGATGAGCTTGTTGGGGCCGAGCTCTCAGAGCTTCTCTGTGCCTACAGGCAGGCAGGCACAGGCTGCACTCACAGCCGCTTTCCCTCCATCATTGGTTGCTTCCCTCCCATGTCTGGGGGTAGAGACGGGCCTTAGGATCGAAGCCCATGTCTCCTGGCAGCACACATCAGAACTGTGCCCTGTGTGCCTGCTGTCGCTAGATGACTAGGCTGATGGCCGAGACCTCACCAGATACACACTGCCACCCTGAGGGGAGCCTGCTGCGGCCCTGCCCCAAGAAAGGAATGAATGCAGGCCTCCAAATGCTGATTTGAGGGTAACCCTCCTTCCCTCGCACCCTCCATCTCCATTGAGGGGAGGGCCGGTGCTGAACATGGTTGCAGTTATGTTAACCCTGTCTGGGCTGTGCCAGGGCACTGGCATTGCCAGTTCCTTTTTTTTTTTTTTAAACCAAAGTGCTGAGTTTTTCTATCTAAGTATAGAAAGTGAGAAATAAGCAAGTCCAAGTTTGTCTTGGAGGAAGTACCAGTTCATTGCTAGAAAGGCGGCTCCAGGGGACCTAGGACTGGGGTGAGTGGCAGCAAGGCTGACATGGCCGCCATGGAAGAAAGGAGCAGGAGAAAAGTCCAGAAGAGCGGGAGATTCTTGTCCCCACTTGGTTGCTATACTCCTGTGGGCACTCACCCTGCTACTGGCAACTCGGGGCAGAAGTAGGCCAACCTGCGAGGCTCAGTGCATGCCTAGGGAGCCCCCGCCTGCTGATGTGACCAGAGTTGTTCTGAGGGGTGTCAAGCCTGAATGCTCTGTGAAGGGTGACGCGCCAGGCGGACACTTGGGAAGTGGCACTGAGAGACCCATGGCCCCTTTGCTCTGGCCTGCACGCAGAACTCGAGCTCTTTCACCACAGTCACACGTGGCCTTGGTGAAGAGAGTAAAGTAGCTGGGTGTCAGTAGCTCACACCTATAATCCTAGCTTCCCTGAAGGCTGAGATCTGAGGATTACAGTTTGAAGCCAACCCAGGCAAAAAAGAAGTCCATGAGACACTCATCTCCAATTACCTGAAAACCAGAAGTGGCACTGTGGCTCAAATTGGTAGATCCCTTACCTTGAGCCCAAAAGCTTAGGTAAAGCACCCAGGCCCTGAGTTCAAGCCTCATGACCACCACCAACAACAACCAAAAGAGTAAATTACTCTTTTGTTTCTGTGTGAGTGCGTGGCACATGTATGCGAGCATCCATGTGTGTACTTGAACACAGCATTTTCACTCACAGTTTGTACTCTGCCACTTGAGCTACGCCTTCGGTATCTGCTCTGCCTAATGTATTACCCCTGGTTTTGTTGTCTTGTAGAATTTGGGAACCTTAGAGGTCCCACAGTAGTTCCCCAAGAATGTGTTAGAAATGCAGTTTTGGGGGCTCCCCTAGCATCCAGACCCCAGCGCCTCCACCTGACTGATGGAGAACTGGCGATGTAGTTCTCTGATGAGAGAAGAAAGAGCATGTGTTGTAGAGTCAGGTTCAATGACGTTTGTATAACTCGCCCTCTGCCATGTGCTCACTGCTTTCCCTGTTGACCTCGGCATTCTCATCTGTTGTGCTGGCTCTCAAGGATCTGTTGGGAGAAGTGGTGTGGAAGTGCGTGCAAGGCACGCGTCACCTGCTGTGGGCCTCCTACCCAGTGAGCGCCCAGCCACAGGTTTGTTGGCATGACTCTTGTTTGAGCCGTCCTCTCAGACCAGATACAGCATCCCAGCCTCTGTGCACTGCCTGACAGCTGGGCTAATAGTTATCTTACAAATTGACAGCGAGCGTATTTGTTAGAGCTCTGTTCCCTATAGCTGCTGATAGAGACTGTCTGATACAGCGCTGGTTCACATACTTGAAAACACTGACCTTGGCCACTTAGGGCTTTTTTCTCATTCTGTTCCCAAAGATGAGCTTCAAGTAGAAGATGCTTGAAACCGTGTTTCAAAGAAAGCAGACAGGCCTGGGCCCAGGGTAGGCTTTAGTGGAGTGAACCTTTGGGGTCTCATGGACAGGGCTGCTGCCTGCAACAGCTTGTAAGGGAAGCCCACTTTGTGAGGGCCCTGCTTTCTGCTGGTGGGGTATTTCTCTGGTGTGTGGGTACCTGAGGTCTGCTTCAGGCCCCCATCTCTTTCCCTGACTGGCTGCGGTCCTGGCCAGCTGCCTTGTTCTGGCCAGCATCCGGGTTCTCACCAGGACCAAGTGCATGAAGCTTCCATGGTGCTGTGCGCTCTGCTCTCTGTTTCTGTTTGTTTTTCATTGATGTCTAAGTGGTAGTTGGGATCAATTGTACGAGCTAAGCTAATGATACCTTTCCTAAATGATGCCATGGTCTTGGGTACGACAGTGGCAGGATTGCTATTTTAACATGAGATTTTGTAAAATAAACACCCCCGGCTTACAGGAAATGCTAAGGTGATGATTAATGGTGCTCTAGAGCTGCCCTGGTGCTTTCCCAGGCTTCCATTTTGGTGGTGAGCCCTGTGGTGCGGTCTCCACTGCCCACACCTGACCACCCCATGTAGCAAGCTGCGGCCTGCGCCCAGGGCAGGGGACCAGCAGCCTCTCAAGACTGCGCCTGCTCTCACAGGGGCTCAGGCCTACCAGAAAATGATGCATGCCCAGCCTGGCGGGACTGGGGGAGGGTAGAGGGCCTAGGAGCGGTGACTTAGTCCTGGCCCTTTGTGCCGTCATCTTTCCTTAGGGAGGCTCTCATATTGACAGAAGGGACGAGCACTTAGAACAGAGTTGTTGTTTCAGACTAGGAGGTGAAAACCTAAAAGCTGCTGACATGCCCAGGGCTTGTCACGACGCGGCGAGCCTGTGTGTCCGCCCCGGTGCCTCGCTTGAGCTACGAGATCAAAAGTTGGAACCTGTCTCTGGGGAAACAGGCCAGGGTAAATACTGGTGCAGGGGATGCTAGCGGGTGCTGCGTGAGAGTCCTCGGGACTGGGGTGGGGAGGGGTGCGGGGGTGCGGCGCAAGGACACCCCATGGTTCTGCTGTAATGTTTTCAATTCACCTTCCAACATTCTGGGCCCTGGAAGAATGCAGGCTTTGATGTGATCTGATGGCGGCCTCTCCCAGAGGTGGCTGACATGAGCCTAATGGATGGCAGGCCCCGTTCTCCCAGTACGGGCAGCAGAAGGAGCTCGTCTACTTCACTGTTGTGTTGCTGTCTTGGTGGCCACACTAGACTTTCCTTTCTAAGAATGGGAGGATGGGCTCAGCCAGTGCCCCAGTCCACACTAAGCCAAATAGCATGTCCTCTGTGGAGTGGGGTCAGTCTTTCCTCTGATACTTCAGATTCTGTCATTTAAGCCACAGATTTTGCTATTGAACTTCATGGGCCTCAGGAGCCTGACAACAGATACATGCTGTCTTAAAAAAAAAAAAAAAGTAACAAGGGGTTGGAGGTGTGGTTCAGTTGGTACAGCACTAGCCAGTGAATGAAAGCATCAGGTATGGAGTTTAGAAGTCCCTGTCGGAGACCTTAAAAAAAAAAAAAAAAAAAGTAACAAGTATTTGTTACTCTTTCAAGCAGAGTGAGAAAAGCACCCTGTGGGAAAACTAAAGCACTTGAACAGCAAATCCACACAGTAAGAGAGAGACAGGTACTTCCAAGAATCTATGGCTGGGGGCATGGCGCAAGGAGTAGTTACTGTCCAGGCCCAAAGTTCAAATCCTAGTACTGACAAAAGTTCAAATGAAGTCCAACAGTGAAACTGAGAGCTGGCAGAGCACTTCCCTAAGAGTACCTGAGATCCATCTCCAGCACTGCAAAAAAAATAAAAAATAAGAGGAAATATAATTGAAGAATATTTCTAACAGTGAAAACTTGAGACACCCTGAAGGAGGATAGTGTTGCTTATAGAGTTACTGTATGTGTTAGTGTCTTTAAAATCATGTTCTGTAATACTCGTTTTGTTTTGTTTTTGACTTGCTGGCTATGACATTCTCCCCCACGGAGCCCAGCCTGGCCCCAGAGCCATTACAGGGTGTGAGGGCATTTGGTGTCCAGAATAAGCTTACAGTAACTTTGTAATGAAAATGGAGTGTTCAAATAAAGTAAAGAAATTTTCAAGAGAAAACCAAAATGTGGCTCAAAGTTATCTTCAGCTTCCATACTGTGTATCTGTTTTGTCGTTGTTGTTTTTTGGTCCATCATGGGGCTTATACTCAGGGTCTGGGTACAGTCTCTGGGGTCTTTTTTTTTTTTTGGGTCCAGTCGTGGCCTGAACTCTGGACCTGAGCGCTGTCCCTCAGCTCTTCAGCTCAAGGCTACCGCTCTACCATTTGAGCCACAGCGCCATTTCTGGCTTTTTCTGTGTATGTGCTACTGCGGAATCGAACCCAGGGCTTCATGCATGGTAGGCAAGCACTCTACCAATAAGCCACATTCCCAGCCCCCTAGTGTGTATTTTTTTATGTGTGTGCTGGTACTGGGCTTGAATTCAGGACCTCTTGATCTGGCTTGGCTTTTTGGCTCAAGGCTACTACTCGAACCACAGCTCCACTTCTGGCCTTTTATGGTTAATTGGAGATGAGAGACTCAGGTTTTGCTGCCCAGGCTGACTTCGAACCATGATCCTCAGATCTCAGCCTCCTAATTTGCTAGAATTAACACATTTAGCCACCAGCACCAGGTTTGTATTTTAATTTTTGTGAAAAAGCAAGTAAAAAATAAAGCACATGGAAGAAGACTAAAGCTGGTGAAAACTCAAGGAGAATGCTAGCCTCGCCCTGCTCCTGTCCCCCAGTGGGCGCCCTCAGGCTCCTGGTGCCCCCGTCCTGGTGTCCAGGCCTGGTGATCTCCAGTTCACAGGACCTGCTCTGTTCTTCCTCCTCAGGACTGAGCACAGAAGGCATCTACCGGGTCAGCGGGAACAAGTCAGAGATGGAGAGTCTGCAGAGACAGTTTGATCAAGGTAAGGCTAGAGCCAGTTGAAGTGATGCCATAGCTAGACTGCCAGGTGGGAGTCCTGCCACCCATCCAGAACCAAAGCAAGAGAGGTGCTGGCTTCGTGACTTAAGAGACCCTGTGTGGCCCCAGGTGGCTGTGCCTCCTGGTCACACTGCCAAAGGAGCGGAGCAGGCCTTGTCAGCCTACCATCCCTGCCAATGCTGTCAGCATGAGCAACCTCGTGGAAGGGGTGCGATCCTCAGCTGGGCAGGGACAGTTAGGAGTTAATGATCTATTTTGCAGGTCCAGGGAATGTTGTCCATTATGGCTACCCTTCTCCCCCCTCCCCCCCGCCCCCATGGCCTCCTATGAGAGCCACCCAGGCCATAGGAGAACTGAGCTCAGCAGCCTCCCTCCTCCACCCGCTGGGGCTTCTGCAGGCAGAGGGAGGGAGGCAGGTGGGGGCACAGAGGCCTGAGAGGCGCCACCAGAGCAGCTCGCAAGCCTGGTCAGGCTTAGCTAGCCCATGGATGCTTTGGGGATGCACTGTGCGGGCACACATTGCCTTGCTGGCTGTCGGGTGCCTGTGAGAATGCCTCCCTAGGTGACTTGGTCAAGTGCACAGCACCGAGGAGGGTGGTTTCCCACACCAAGACAGCCTGCTCATGGTGTCATCGGTGGGACCTCCTTTCTCATAGTCTATCATTGACCTAAACTGCTTAGGGGCACTCAGGGTCTCAACAGCTGATAGCCCCAAAGTGAACCCCGGTCACAGCCCCTGATCAGCAGTTTCTGCAGAATCAGGAATGCAGCAGGGCTGAGAGAGAAGTGAGAGGAAGGAGTCAGTGCTACAGCCAGGGGGCCAGAGGGGGGGACACGAATGATTTCTCCCACTGTCAGGACAAGGACGGGGATGGGCAGCATGTGGTGGCAGGGCTCATTTCCTGTGAGCCAGTAGGAAGCGCGCCCACCTTTCAGGAAAGCTCCCTTGCTGGCTGGCAGGAAAGGAAGTTCGGAAAAGCCTGCCACACATCATAGCCATAAGGAATGCTGGTACTGTTGGTGAACCTTGGAGGTCTAGTAGCAGCATCCAAGGATGCCACCTCCTATAATACCCACCCATACTGAGGCCAACCCTGGGCAGTGCCCAGATCTCGAACTTGGTCCGGCTTCTCCAAGCCTTCTGTTTTCCTGCGGCTTCTGCTGGTTTCCATTGGTGTGACCTCACTTCATTTCAGACCACAACCTGGACTTGGCAGAGAAAGACTTCACCGTGAACACTGTGGCTGGGGCCATGAAGAGCTTCTTCTCAGAGCTGCCGGACCCCCTGGTGCCGTACAGCATGCAGATTGACCTGGTGGAGGCGCACAGTGAGTACCCGCAGCAGGGACCAGCGGGATTGCCCCCGGGCTCCAGTCAGGAGCAGGCACTTGCTAGACTGACACACTGTCATTTGAGACATGCCTCAAGCCCTGATTTTTGCTGGTTATTATGGGTCTCACAAACTTTTCAGGCTGGCCTTGAGCCACAGTCCTGTTCTTAGCCTCCAGAGTCAGTCTAATTGATTACAGTATGAGCCACACTTGTAATTCCTCTCTTGCACCTACCTTTTGGAGCTAAGAGATGAGATTTGTCAGGGGCTGCTGCAGGCATGGCTTCTCTGAGCCCACCATCCACAGATGGATGCTGTCTCATAGGAAAGCACTCTGTAGTCCCTACTCCCAGCCCAAGCTTGCTATCGGGTACCAGTTAGAGGAGGGAAGGCATGCGGTGCTGTACGGTATGTACACGTACACACACACACACACACACACTGCATACACACATTGCATGTGCAATTGTGTGGGCCTACGGGAGGCTCCATTCCTCTTGACCTGGCGCCATCTAGAGGCATGTGGAAGCCCAGCACCCGGTGGCGTGCCATTGTTTCTGCAGGACCAGCTGACACAGCACCTTTTTGTTTGGAGAAGGGCAGGAGAGGGGTGCAGCGATAGGGGACCCACTGCCCTTCCTACAGCGCTTCCGCTTCCACGGCGGCTTCCACTCTCAGGAGGTGGCTGCACAGTGCCACTTCAGCAGCCTGGGAAGGGCGGAGGCTGGCAGTTTCCTCTCCCATTGTGTGCTCGCGTGCTGAGACTCCTCGGGCTCTGAACCCGGCAGAAGGCAGAGCCCAGCAGAAGGCGGAGAAGGAGAGGGGCTCCCCGCTGGGCACCGCAGAGTGAGGGCACTCAGCCCAGCCAGACACAGCCAGTGAAAAAGTTGCTGTCAGGGGATGCCTTGCCCTGAGGTAGCCAAGTACCAGGCTGCCTGGGTTTCCATGGCAACATCAGCTGGACCAGCTCTTGATACCTGAGAGTGGCTGTGCCTGTGTGTTGAGGCTTGGACCTGGTTTGAAGTGCCATCATGGTCCAGGTCGCTGTCTTATTGTTCTGTTAGTGCCAGACATTCACAATATTGAGCATGGTTCCAAATGTGCCACAAAGTAGAGCTCCAGAAGCGAGTGGCAGCCGTGCACGGCCTAGGCACAACTGTGTGGTGTGCTCGAGACCTCCTTCCACCCGGGATTGCTGTCATGGCCCATCCTTCCTGCCCATCACCCGCCTGATGGCCAGCTTCTCAGCCAGGACCCTTGCACTGAGGTTCAGGGTGATGCAGCGTGTGTGAGAAGTCACCCCTGTGTGAAAGCCCCTGCCTTGTGCACAAAGCCTGGATCCAGCCCCAGTAGCATGGGAGGAAGAGAAGAGGACAGGCAGGTAGCAGCAGAGTTGGCCTAGTGTTGAGGCTGCAGTTGGGACAGCTGTGCCACTCCCTCCTCACACTTCGCCTGCCGCAGCGGGCGGGTGAATGGTGATGGTAATCAGAGCAGGCTCCGCAAGGGACCGCCGCAAGGAAGAAAGCCAGGAAACACCCATCCTTGCTGTTTGTCCGAGAGGAAGGGGAAAGGGCGCCTGCAGACAGCAGCCTGGCCACCCTGTTTCCTGCCTCAGGGAGGAGGCTGAGCCCTGGCTCTTCTGTGAAGGTGCCACCCCCACTAGCGCCTGATGAAAGCAGAGACTGGTGCCCGCTGGGATCCGGAGGGGCACACTGCTGTGGGGGTTGCTCTGTAAAGCCTGCCAGGAGGGCTGGGGAGAAAGCATATACCCTCCAGAGCAAGTCCCAGGATCAAGACTAAGGACGCTGTAGCTCACCTTAGCTCCTATGTCCATCTCTGCATGTGGCACCAATGCACCCTTACCTGTCTGCATGACAAGGACACCGACCCAGGGGTCACTCGCCCTGGGCCTTGACCCAACGGCCTCCCTCCTGCTGTCCTTGCTCCCTGCCATGACCCTATAGGCCTGTCAGCTGCTGCAGGGGTGGCGACCAGGAGACCGTGGCCGCCTTCCTGGCACATGGTGGGGATGGAGTGAGCACCCAGGAGGCTGAGGCGTGTGCATACATGTGTCCATGGGACAGGAGGGCACCTGTGGCTCTCCTTATGGCATGAGTAGGCAGCAGCACTCACCATCTGGTTAGGAAGCCGTGTCAACGCGGCTTGCCTGTCTCCAAGGGCAACCGAAGGAAGGAAAAAATGGTGTTCTTCGTGGTGGAGTCCATGGCTGTGGGGGGGGCTCGGGGGCCAGGCACACCCCTACCCTCCACAGGGGCCCTGGGCACAGAGGAGACCTGGCCACCAAGCCTATGCCATGCTGGGTGTGCAGGCCACAGGTGCAAGAGTCCTCGGGGGCCTACAACAGCATGGAGCCCGGGGGCTGCCAGCTGCTAAACTGCCACGTCTGCTCTCCAGGCTCTGCCACAGACCTTTTTTGGGGGAAGGGGGGGTGGGAGGGATTAAAGGTTATAATTTAGACAGATACCAAATCTTCAGCAGCACTGAGGTTTGAACTTGGTTTCCCACTTGATAGGCAAGTAGTCTTTCACTTGAGACACATCTCCAACCCAATCTTTGCTTTTCTCTCTTCAGAAATCAATGACCGGGAACAGAAGTTACATGCCCTCAAGGAGGTACTGAAGAAATTCCCAAAGGAAAACCATGAAGTCTTCAAATATGTCATCTCGCACCTGAACAAGTAGGTTCCAGGGCTTTCTGGCTTGTTACTCCTCCTCTGAAAACTGACAGTGGAGTGAGGCCTCCGTCCTCAGCTCCAGTGGGGCCTGCATGATAGCCATCTTGAGCCAGGGCATGCCAGGGTATGTCTGTAATCCTAGCTACCCAGGAGGCTGAGAGAGAGAGAGAGACACACACACACACACACACCCATGCTGTATCCAGACACACACACACACACCCATGCTGTATCCAGACACACACACACACACACACACACACACACACACACACACCCATGCTGTATCCAGAAATCTGCCTGGAAGCAGAAGTCCTCAGAGCCTCTCCTGTACCCCCTTTCCCCAGACGGTGAGCAGGAGACAGGAAAAGCTTTAGCTGAGAGACCACATTACTAGTACCAGGAAGACAGGTCACCAGCTCCACACATGGTCACCTGCAGTTGGTTTGGTGGCACAGTAGCCAGTCTAGCAAGTCCCTAAGGTGGTCCCATCATCCCTAAGAGTTTGTAGAGTTGAAGGGGGGGAGGAGTACCTGCAGGGTGGGGCTTTGACGTGCTATGGTGTCGCTGCAGGGTCAGCCACAACAACAAGGTGAACCTCATGACCAGTGAGAACCTGTCCATCTGCTTCTGGCCCACCTTGATGAGGCCTGACTTCAGCACCATGGACGCGCTCACGGCCACGCGCACCTACCAGACAATCATCGAACTCTTCATCCAGCAGTGCCCCTTCTTCTTCTACAATCGGCCCATCAGCGAGCCCCCAGGCGCCGTGCCCAGCTCCCCCTCAGCCATGGCTGCCACGGTCCCCTTCCTCACCTCCACACCGGTCCCCAGTCAGCCTTCCCCTCCCCAGTCACCTCCCCCCACCCCCCAGTCCCCCTTGCAGCCGCTGCTCCCCTCCCAGCTTCAGGCCGAGCACACGCTGTGAGCCGCCGTGCCGGGTCGCAGGAGAGTCCGTCTTGGTGTTGGCATTGGGCCTTGAGCAAAAGCAGGTGCCCTGGGGCAGGCACAGCGAGGGTCCCACCCCCCACACCTTCGCCGTGGCCCACTCAGGCTGGGCTGCTAGCCCTGTCCGGGCCTGGAACCACGTGGAGGACTGGACTGGCCAGGCAGCAACCCCGCGGCCCTCCGTGGGCCCGCGCCGGCCTCCGCCCCTGCATGTACAGAGCCCACCACTGGAACCACACGGCCTGCGCCCCGGGCCCCGAGGGCCACACCCTGTCCCCCCCGAGCGCCCCATAGGACGCGCAGTGCTGTAGGGGCACCCCAAGGTACAGGCTGGGGCAGATGGGGCGCTGTGCCCTGCGGCGCCCCTCCAGGAACACTGAAGAACAGTGGGACACCCTCCCGGAAGTAGGAAGAAAACGACAGACCTCAAGATTCCACTCCCGCCTCTGCTGTGCAGGAGGCCCACGGCCGTGCGAGCCGGCTGGGTGCCCACGCAACACGGTTAGGGAGCGCCGCGCATGCGCCTGGGGTGGGAGGTGGGCAGCGGGGCCAGGGCCGGGGCGCGGGGGCCTCCAGGTCACGCGTGCCTGGCGCCGCTGCCACCTCCCCGGTCCCCCGAGCCCTCCCACTCCCGCTCCCCACCCGTCCTCGTGGCTGAGCCACGGCCTCCGCAGCCACGGAGCCCGACACTAAGGTACCCTGGCGTCCAGGTCTTGACGTTGCACTTTAGAAGCAGCACGCGTGTCCCGGGCGGAGGAGGCCCCGGGCCGCGGGTCCTTCCCCTGCGCAAGCTGGCGTCGCCATCGTCCTGACAAGACAAGGTGCTTGAAACACTAAGTCACCCCTGCAAGTCTGTCCCCCCCACCCCAGAACCCAACCCAAGGTACAATGTGTTCATGTGCGTGTTTCCCCCGCGGGCCCGCCCCGTGTGGAGAGCCGGGATGGCAGGGAGGCGCGTGCCGCCCTTCCCGCGGTGCAGAGCCGCCCTGGGTGCCAAGCCTCTGCTTCTAGGCCGGGAGCGCAGCTGGCCGCTTCTCGCCCGCCCCGCCTCCCCGCGGCTCTAGGCCGAGCCTGAGTCACGGCAGCGCTGGGGCCCACGGGGGCGCAGCATGCCGCCCGGACCCCGCTTCACTCCGGGCGGGCCCACTGCGCCGCCTTCCTGGGGACCGTGTTCCCCAGAGCACCGCTGGCAGCCCGCAGCTTACTGCCAGCTGGGGCCGAGGGGCGTGGCTTCCGTCACACCCGCCCCACCCCTCGCGGGAGGGCTCCTCGCCCCTGGCCACACGGCCACGCCGTGGGCAGGGAAGGACTGCCCGGCCGGAGCAGGCCCGAACCCGCGTCCGCCCAGCGCTGCCCGCGGGGCCCAGCAGGCCTAAGTTATTGTTTGCATTGCGAGTCCTGTCCCCTGTGTACACCGAAAGGAAATGTCGGGATTTATGGGAATAAAAGTCGTTTGAAGATCTGGAACCGCGCTGCTGCCGGCTTATTTTTCTGGTACTTGTGTTTTTCATGTTACGTTGAATTAACAAATATTTTGAGTTTCCTGCGAAAAACAACACATGAATGGTATTGAAATGTGTTAGTAGTCTGGCCGCGTGCCCAAAACTTTGTTTCACAGCGAAAGTGAAGAACTGTATGTAAAGAAGTATACCGATGATTTCTTGTATCCTAGGGGCTCTCACCAAGAGCTCTTCGAGTTGGTGTTAGGAATGTTGGCTTCATTTCCAGACTTCTCTTTATTTTCACACGCCGGGGGTTGTGGGTTTCGAGGCTCCTGCCTGATTAGTGCATGGTCAGCCCTCAAGGCTGAGGCATCTCTCACTGAGGTGTTTTTGTTTGGTTTTGTTTTTTAAAATCATGTATTTGCTACAAAGTATTGTACTTGTGTCAATGGGAATGGTGTAAAAAACAGAAAAGGCCTTATGTGACATGTATTATAGTTAATAAATCAATCTTGTTAAAAAAAAAAAAAAAAGCAACCAGGCCTGAGAGATGAAGAGACTGTCCCCCTCCACCACCCCTCTCCCCCACCCCACCCCAGACCCCTCCTGCCAGCCCTGGGCTGATGCCCCTGTGACCTGCACACACACACACACACTGCCAGTCAGGTCCCTGGACTCCAGGTGATAGGACCATCTTGGCCAGCCTCCAGACCAGGGACCCCCTTCTCGGATATCCCTTTTCCCCAAGGAACCTCTCCACCACTGGCATGCCTTGTTACCTCCCTCTGCCCATGATCCAGGCCCAGGTCTGTGCTACCCTGCTCCGCCCTCACCCCACGTGGCCTGCCAGCACCCCAAAGTCATTTGCAAGCATAGTCTTTCTGTGTTCTCTGCCCCCTTCCTAGCTCAGGCACCCATTCAAGCTCACCACACATCAACTGTTCCCCACCCACCCTGTCCTTCATCTTGACTTTGCCTACCTACAGCAAGAGCAAGAACTCTTCACTTAGTATGCTGCTCCCTGATGGGTGGCCCCAGCAGACATGGTTAGCAGATTGCCGCACCACAAGATGACTTCCAAATGCCTCTCCAGGCAGCCATTACCACTCAATAGCAGCTAGCCCTTAGTTTACTTTAGGCTTTTCACCAGGAACACAGGTGTCTACTTGTCCAAGTACTTGACACCAGCACCCCACCTCTGCACCAACCTGCTTTCCTCCTCTCATCCAACTCCCCAACATCAACCCAAATCGTTTTGAGGGCATTTAGTTTCCCCTACCCTCGGCCCATCCTGTCCAGGTCTTTTCCTATTTCCATCAGCCAAAAATGTCTCCTACCCAGGTCTCAGCTTGGCCTAGCAGACCCTAGCTGCTACAAAGCCTGGGGCTCCTCACCCCTCTCCTTATCTGTTGGGTTGGGGGGCTCCATGAGCCCCACAAATGCTTCAGTTTGCATCCTACCAAATGGCGTTCAGTGTGTGCTGACAATCCTATCTCTCAGCCACCATGACCCCCACCTCAGCAGTTTGTTGGGGGCAGGTTTGTGGCTCCCGGTGTGCCTGCCCTCCCTCATCAGCAAGAGCCCAATAGCAAGAGCCCAATCCTTCTTGGGCCCTTGGCCACATGTAGGCTGTGCAAGGTACCATTTCGGCTTTGCCTGGCAGCTCCATCTGTAAGCAGACCTCCACCCCAAGGACCACGCTTGTCCCCACCTGCTTGTGATTCTCCACTCAGGGACACCATGGTGACACCAGAGCCAAACTTCCTGGCTTACCCACAACCAGAGACAGACAGACCTTTGGGGTGTACCTCCAATGTCATTCACCTTTCCCCACATGTTAGGGAGTTTGGGAAACAGAGTCAGGCCAGGCAGAGCCAACCAGGGCCCCTGCTTTCAGGAAGCCTTTCCTGACACCCTGCTTCCAGCCACCCTCATGTCATTGGCTACTGCTGCTCCCTCTGCAATGCCTCCTTCCCTTCCCTCCCCTTCCGCCTCTCCTGGGATTCACATTTACTGGGGAAAGCAACACCACCACATCTACACCAAATGCATTTCTTCACTTTTCCAAGGGCTGGGGATGCTGGTGGTAGAACCCTCGCCAAGCAGATGCAATGAAGGCCTGAGTTTCCAGCCCCAGCACTGAAGGGGGGGGGGGAAAAAGCTTATCAGAGTTCTGTCAGATCATTCTATGGTGTGCTTCTCATTCACACTGTAAACACCCATTGAGCACAGGCTTCACAAGCACTTCTTTGTGCCAGACTCGAGATCACAGCCATGGACAGAAACCCACCTAGGGCTGACACCCTATGTGCTATGTCAGAGACCACAGCAACAAGCAAACAAACATGCCAGGTGCCAGGCAGGATGGGCGGAGATGGGAGCCCCAGAGAGCAGGGCTCTCTGGTCATCCAATGACCACACTTCAGGGCAGCAGTGACCAGGGAGATGCCAAACTTAAAGAGCCTAAACACACACACACACACACACACACACAAGGATATGGTAGTGTATGCCTGTAATGCCAGCTAACAGAAATAAAGGTGGATCTAGAAGGATTGTGGCTCAAGAGTAGCTCAAAACCCTATCTGAAGCCAGGCACTGGTGGCTCACGCCTTTCATCCTAACGATTCAGGAGGCTGAATCTAAGGATCACAGTTCAAAGCCAGCCCAGGCTAGAAAATCTGTGAGACTTATTTCCAATTAACAACCAGAAAAAAACAGAAGTGGAGGGCTGGGAAGGTGGCTCAGTGGTAGAGCGCTTGCCTTGCATGCCTGAGGCCTTGGGTTCGATTCCTCAGCACCACATAAGCAAAAAGAAAAAAGCTGGAAGTGGCACTGTGGCTGAAGTGGTAGAGCGCTAGCCTTGAGCTGAAATGCTGAGGGACAGCGCCCAGGCCCAGAGTTCAGGCCTCACGACCAGACCCAAAAAAACAAAACAAAACAAAACCAAAACACAGAACTGGAGCTGTGGCTCAAAGTGGTAGAGTGTTAGCCTTGAGTAAAAAAGCTCAAGGACTGCACCCAGGCTCTGCGTTCAAACCCCATGACCAACAAAACAAAACAACATTATCTGGAACACAAAGTAAAAGCAAAGGGATTGGGGGTATGGCTTAAGAGGTAGAGCATCAGCCTAGACTGCATACACTTCCCTGGGCTCAATCATCAGGACCCTAATATCAGTGAAAGTGCAAAAGCTACACATAACATGTTGGATGAACAGGAGCCAGTAACAAGTGTGGATGGGATGGGTGGGAGCAAGAGGAAAAATGAATGGTTCTGAGCCCCCTCTCTAGGTGTTGTGGGGGGCGGGGAGCAGGACAGTAGGAATAGAGACAATAGGTAGCTTCTGGAAATCTTGGAGCCCAAGAGGACAGAATTTGCTGAAGGTCATGTGGGTCAGAGTGAACCCCACCCCTGACTCTGGGGTTGACATGACATCAGCCCCCAGCCCCAGCCAATGGAGACTGGAGAATGCACTGCATTTCTCCAGATGGCCACTAGGGGGCAGAAGAGCATCACTCCTGGGAGGGGTGGGTGTGTGTGACAGAGACTAGATTGGTTGGTTGGTTGGTTGGTTGTGAAGAAAGCAAAATTAGGACTGGGAATGGGGCAAGATGGACTTGCAGTGTCCCTGGGGCAGACTGGCAGAATATTTCTATTAGTGTATCCATTTGTCCATCCATCATCCATACAATTATTTTATCCTCAGTCAACAGGTCAGGGGCCAGGCCACATTGGTCTCAATAGGATAGGAGAATGATCTTAAACTGTTCATAGTGGTACATGCACTTGAGAGGCTGAGGCGAGAGGATCACCAGTTCCCGGCCAGGCTGGGTGACATACTGAGACCAGTCACACCAACTAAAAGCAAAAGGATTGGGGGTGTGACTCAAAAACAGCTGGGTGGCTCACACCTGTAATCCTAGCTACGCAGGAGGCTGAGATCTGAGGATTACTGTTTTGTTTTGCCAGTCCTGGGGCTTGAATTTGGGGACTGAGCTTTGTCCCTAAGTTTTTGAGGATATTTTTTGTCAGTTGTGGGCTTGAACTCTGGGCTTAGGCGCTGTACTTGCACTCTTCAGCTCAAGGCAAGTGCTCTACCACTTGAGCCACAGCGCCGCTTCCAGTTTTCTAGTGGTTTATTGGAGATAAGGGTCTCACGGACTTTCCTGCCCGGGCTGGCTTTGAACCGCAACCCTCAGATCTCAGCCTCCTGAGAAGCCAGGATTACAGGCGTGAGCCACGGGCACCCGGATCTGTTTCTTTTTTGTTGTTATTGTTGGTTGTGGGGCTTGAACTCGGCCTGGGCGCTGTCCCTCAGCTCTTCAGCTCAAGGTGAGCGTTCTACCACATGAACCACAGAGCCACTTCCAGCATTTTCTGCTTAGGTGGTGCTGAGGAATTGAACTCAGAGCCTCATGCTTGCGAGGCAAACACTCCACCACTAAGCCACCTTCCCAGCCCCTGTCCCTGAGTTCCTTTTGCTTAAGACTAGCACTCTAGCAGGGCACCTGTGGCTCACGCCTGTAATCCTAGCTATTCAGGAGGCTGAGATCTGATGATCGAGGTTCAAAGCCAGCCCAGGCAGGAAAGTCTGTGAGACTCTTATCTCCAATAAACCACTAGAAAATCAGAAGTGGTGCTAAGGCTTAAGGAGTAGAGTGCTTGCCTTGAGCTGAAGAGCGCAGGGACAGCGCCCAAGCCCAGAGTTTAAGCCTCACCACTGACAAAAAAAAAAAAAAAAAAGACTAGCACTTTACCACTTGAGCCATAGCACCACTTCCAGCTTTTTCTGTTTATGTGGTGCTGAGGAATCGAACCCAGGGCTTCATGCATGCTAGGCAGGCACTCTACCACTAAGCCACATTTCCAGCCCTGGGGATCAGTTTGAAGCCACATGAGGAAAAAGTCTCTGAGACTCTCATCTCCAATTAACTCCTGGAAAGTTATAAGTGGAGCTGTGGTTCAAGTGGTAAAGTGCTAGCCTTAAGTGAAGAAGTTAAGGGATAGTGCCCAGGTCCCAAGTTCAAGCCCCATTACTCGGGCTTGAACAATTCAGCCTCCACAGCACAGGGCCAGGAAGTGGTCATTAGGGCAGAAGCCGATATCAAAGCTTGGATCCCTCTGCTGGCACCCAAGTCTCTGGGGATGAGCTGAGACACCATCACCATCACACTTTATAGCCTCTTCATTTCATTTTCTCACTAAAAAATGGATCCAAAATAGAGTCTCATTCAAGCTGAGCATGGTGGGTCACACCTGTAATTCCAGCTATTCAGGAGGCATGGATAGCAGGATTACAGTTCAAGACCAACCCTGGCAACACACACACACACACACACCGACAAAACGAATGCAAAAGGACTAGGGAATGTGGCTCAGGTAGTAGAGCACCTAAGTAGCAAGACCTTAAGTTTAAATGCCACTACAGCCAAGACAGAGACAGAGAGGAGAAAGTCCACACCTTGCTATGGAAAATGGGCACTTCCTGTTATTGCTGATATGCTCCTGAGCCAGCAAAGCTGTGTGACTCAGTTTCTCCACCTGTCCAGAGATGCTGCCCATGTTCTCTGGGAATCCTACCTCCTCCAGACCTCCATCCCATTTTTGTTCCCCCCTCTGGAGTCTCCTGAGGGCGCACATCGGCACGCCAGGCAGCCAGAGAACACCCCGGGCCGGCGGTGGGAGTGCCGGTGCGGCCGCGGGGAGATGGACGACCTGGAATCCAAGGAGGAAGGCTCATTTGCGCACACTGATGATGTGTGAAGCCTCTGGAGGTTGGGGTCCCAGCCCCGGAAACAGCCCGGGGTCAAAACCCCAGGGCCCTGACATCTGGAGAAAAAGACGCCAAGTCCTGTCCTGGAGGCAGAGGTAAGGGCCGGGGTGCCGGGCCCCAGCTTTGTTGGGGTTGTTCTGACACCCCGAAATTCTCCCCTGGAATAGGAGGCAGGGACGTGAAGTGCCCGCCCTGAGGAAGGGTGTGCGGAAGGGGTGCGGGGACTCCGGGGGTGAGGCTCCCGCTGAGCTGCTGGTTCGGGGCTCCCCAATGTTGGGTGAGGGGGCTCGGACTCCCCCCCCACACTCCGCGGTGGGCCTCCAAACGCCGCCCCGCCTCTGGGAGAGGCCCGGGAGCGGGGCGGGGCTGGGGGCGGGGCTCCCGCAGGCCCCGCCCCGCCGTCGGCGCTGTCCGAGGTCTCCAAGTGTGCGAGGCCGCCCAGGGCGCCCGGAGCCCGGAGCCCGGCGCCCAGCCGCGCGCCCCGCTCGCCCCGCGCGCCCCGGGGTCTATGGAGCGGCCCCTCGGCGCCTCCTGGCCGGCTCTACGCCGCGCCCCGAGTCCGCTCCGCCGCCAGGTAACCAGGTTGGAAGGTCGGCGGGAAGGGGACCCCGGGATGTTTGGCAAGAGGGGAAGGGGGAGACTCCTGGGTCCTTCAGGGATGGACGGCTGGAGCCCTGTGTCCGGGGGTCGGGGTTTACCGGGCGCCGGTACCCAGGGCCCGGAAAGGGGTACGTGACTGTTTGGATCCTGGGGAGACAGAGCCGGGGAACCTGGACGCCGGAGCCTGGGCAGCTGGACACCTGGCCGGGGACGCTTGGGGACAGCCTGGGTCCTGGGGCAGGGGCGCCCCGGACGCCTAACCCCGGGAGACTCGGGCGAGCCGCCCCCGAGGCCCCGGACACGCCGACACCTGGGCCCCAAGTGTCAGAGCCCTGCTGGGGCGCCCTCGGGCTGCAGCGGGGCTCCCACGCCGAGGGCTTCACGGAGGAAGTTTCCATGGCCGAGATTCGGCACCACCCCGAGGTCTGGGGTGCTCCCTGGGTGGGACTCGGGGGGAGGGGGGTCCCCGTCCTGTTCCCCCTTCCCACCTTCTTGGTCCAGCCTGGGGAGTAGGGGCGCCGCCGGCTCAGGCGCCGGACGCTGGGGTGGGCTCGGGGGGCGGCCCCGGGGCGGGGGGCTGGGGCCGGGCGCGCCCGGGCCCCGGCGCGGCGCGCGCCCCGGGCGGGCTTGGGCATGCTCGGCACGCAGCGCGGGCCGGTCCGATCCGTATGCGCGCCGCGTGCGCCCATTGGTATGCGGGAGCCGGCCCGGCGCGGGGGAGGCGGGCGCGCTGGCGGGCGGCGCGGGGGAGGCGGCGGCGGGGCACGTCCTCACCCTCACCCGGAGCGCCAGCCCCGGGGCCCAACGCCCGCTTCCACACCCGGGCCTCGAGAAGTGGGGAAACTGAGGCAGCTCCGCGCCCGGACCTCAGTGTCCCTGGAAGGGTCTCCCCGCACCACCCCCTCGAGAACCCTGACAGCCGCCTCGGACTCTCTCTCCCACGGCAGGAGACGCCAGTCTCCGAACCCGCCTGAACCCCAACGCCCCCAGCCCCGCGGACATGGCGACCCCCTTCCCCGGGAGCGGCGGCGGCGGCGAGGTCAAGTGCGGGGGAGGCGGTGGCGCCGGCGTCCCGTGGGACTTTCTACCGGGGCTGATGGTCAAGGCCCCACCCGGACCCTGGTGAGCAAAGCCCCGCCCAGGCCCCGCCCTCGGCACAGACCACGCCCCCTCCTCCACGGGGCACGCCCACTCTCGTGTGGCCACGCCCCTCTACCTGTGGCCCCGCCCCGGGAGTTGGCCCCGCCCTCGGCGTCGCTGCTGTCTCTCCCGGTCCGCAGCCGGTGATCCCTGACCCCGACCCGGGCGCGGATCCGCACTCGCCCGCGCCCCAGCTCCTGCACCCCGTCCTCGGGGCTCCCCGGCCCTCGGAGGCCGGCCTGGCCTTCCCGCCCGCCCCGCCGCCCCCGTGACGCCTCCTCCGCGCCGCCCGCCCAGCCTGCAGGCGCAGCGCAAGGAGAAGTCCCGCAACGCGGCGCGCTCCCGGCGCGGGAAGGAGAACCTGGAGTTCTTCGAGCTGGCCCGGCTGCTGCCGCTGCCCGGCGCCATCTCCGGCCAGCTGGACAAGGCGTCGGTCGTGCGCCTCAGCGTCAGCTTCCTCCGCCTGCGCCGCTTCGCCGCGCTCGGGGCGCCGCCCTGGGGGCTGCGGGCCGTGGGGCCGCCCGCCGGCCTCGGTGAGTGCGGCGCGCGTGCGCCGGCCGCGGGGGCCCCGTCCCGCGCTGGGCCGACCGAGTCGGGGGGACTTCGCCAGAAGTTGGTGACGCCGGGGCCTCGGGCCACGCGGGTGCGGGCGGCCGCCCCCCCTCCCCGCGCCGGGCCCCCTCCCCGCGCCGGGCCCCCCTCCCCGCGCCCCCCTCCCCGCGCCGGGCCCCCTCCCCGCGCCGGGCCCCCCCTCCCCGCGCCGGGCCCCCCTCCCCGCGCCGGGCCCCCCCTCCCCGCGCCGGCCCCCTCCCCGCGCCGGGCCCCCCCTCCCCGCGCCGGGCCCCCCTCCCCGCGCCGGGCCCCCCTCCCCGCGCCGGGCCCCCCATCCCCGCGCCCCCCTCCCCGCGCCGGGCCCCACCCCCTCCCCGCGCCCCCCTCCCCGCGCCGGGCCCCCCTCCCCGCGCCCCCCTCCCCGCGCCGGGCCCCCCTCCCCGCGCCCCCCTCCCCGCGCCGGGCCCCCCATCCCCGCGTCCCCCCATCCCCGCGTCCCCTCCCTCCCAGCGCCGGCCCCCCCTCCCCGCGCCCCCCCTCCCCGTGCCCCCCCTCCCCGCGCCCCCCCTCCCCGCGCCCCCTCCCTCCCAGCGCCGGCCCCCCCTCCCCGCGCCCCCCCTCCCCGCGTCCCTTCCCTCCCAGCGCCGGCCCCCCCTCCCCGCGCCCCCCCCTCCCCGCGCCGGCCCCCCCTCCCCGCGCCCCCCCCCTCCCCGCGTCCCTTCCCTCCCAGCGCAGGCCCCCCCTCCCCGCGCCCCCCCCTCCCCGCGCCGGCCCCCCATCCCCGCGCCGATCCCCCCGCGCTGCGCTCAGAACCAACTCCAGCCCCGCCCCGGCGAGGCCCCGCCCCTCACCCCGGCTCGGGGCGGGAAAGCCAGAGCCTCCGCCTCCCGCCTCGTAATGCCCGAAACACAAAGCCGGAGTGGGGCTGTGGTTCAGGTGGTGGATCACCAGGAAGGGAGGGGAACGGGGAGGCGGCGTGGTCCCCACGCTGTGACCCGCAGGCCGTGTGGGAAGCGGGGTGACCCCGCCCCGCCCCCCGGGCCGCGGGGACCCAGCGGGAGCGGGGTGTCCTGAGGGGCCCCGGGCCCCGACCCCCCCTGCCCCGTCGGGGGGCGGGGAGAAGACGCATTGATTAAGCTCGCAATAAATCACCATTCAAATTGAAACCCAGCGACGCGGTGATTAGGGGATTGACTGGCGGGACGCTGATTACTGTCATTACCGCAGCCACGCAGCCTGGTGCGTGCGGGGCGCCATTGTCCCGCGCGAGGCCGGAGGGGGGCACCTGAGGGCGGCACAGCCTGGGCCCCACGCCCCCTGCCCCGCCCCCAGCCCGAATCTGACCGGAGCCACCGGTCGGGGGGGACGCCACGCGCGGCCCCCCCCCGCCTCCTCCCCCGCACGACCATCCAGACCACAAGTGCAAAGGCCCTGGGGCAGCCTGGAGACCCCACGGGGTCTCCAGCAGGGGGTGGACACGGAGTGGCGGGCGCCCATCATGGGGGGGGTCCGGGGAAGGTGCAGCGGGGAGGGGGCGGGAGACCCCGGGTGCCGTGGGGGGGGCCGGGGTGAAGGGATCTGTGAGGTCCACTGACCAAGCCGGGGCTCCCGGTCACAGGGGCTGGGGGCCCTCCCCCACCGCACCCCACCCCCACGCGCACCCCATTAATGCTGTTAATTGCAGCCGCTCGCTCTGACCCGGGCTGATCCTGTGAGAGGGAAAATGAAGGAATTAGCAGAAATGACAGGGAAAATTGCCACAATTAGCGGGCCGCATTGTTCCAGTCTGTCACCGGGATGCTTGAGCGGCGTCTGGGGGAGGGGTCCCCGCCGGCCCCCCGCAGCCATTGTTCCAGGATCCGCCAGCGGGAGCAGGAGTGGGGGGGTCCCAGGTTTGAGGCGCAGCCTCGACATGGTGGGGGGGGGCGGCTGGGGCAGGGCCTGGGGCCTCGGGACAGGCCCGGGGTCACAGCCACAGTCCTGGCAGAGGGACGCCTCCCACGAGGCAGAAAGGGAAACTGAGGCACGGGGAGGCCAAGGCCCCGCCTGAGCTCTGAGCCTTGCGGGCTGCAGGCCCTTACGGAGCCGCGTGCCCCGGAGTCCCGCGCCTGCCTCTCCAGGGCTTCCGGGTCTCAGTTAGGGGCCAGGGGGGCCCAGGGCCTCCGGGGCTTGGCCAACCCCCGACACCTGGTCTGGAACCCCGAACCCCGGGTGAAGGGGAGCACGGCCTCTCTGTCATTTGGTGCCTTCTGTTGTTTTGTCTTTCCTGGCACCGGGGCTTGATCTTGACTTGTGTGCTTAGCTGGTGCTCTACCATTTGACTCACGCCTCCAAAGTACAGCTTTTCCCTAGTTCCTGGGAGACGGAGTCCCGGACCTTCCTGCCCAGGCTGGCTTGCAACTGCGATCCTCGGGATCGCAGCCGTGGCCCAGCCCTGGACATCATGGAGGCGGTCCTGGGACTGTCATTTGTCCACCCCGAGACTGGGAGCCCGGTCCGGGGCAGGCCGGGCCGTGCCCGTCACCTGGGAACAGGAGGGCTGGAGGTCGCTTTTGTGCAGCCAATCCGTGCAGGAAGGAAGGCGCCTGCACCTGTCTCTGGATGCAAGTTTCCCTGTCTCCCCCACCCCAGCCCTGCTCCACACGGCGCCCGAGTTTCTGGTGACCACAGTGGCTGAAGCCTGGGGCACAGGGGAAGGAACACCGACTCAAGTGCCAGAGCCCTTGCACGTAGCAAGAGGGAGGCCATGAGTTCAAATCCCAGTAGCACCAAAAACAAAAGGGGATTATTTATAGGCTCTGTGCCTGTGCGGGCCAGGCGCCGGCCACGGCCCCATCCTTCGCTCTGTCCCCAGCCCCAGGCCGGCGGAGCGCCACGGCGCTCGTCTCCGAGGTCTTTGAACAACACCTGGGGGCGCACATCCTGCAGGTGAGGCCCTGCCCCGACCAGCTGCTCCTTGCTGCTCCCTGGCGGCCGCTCGCGGGAACAGACCGACCTGCTGTTCTGTGCTGCCCTCTGGTGGTCGCGCTGCGGAACAGCTTGGCCTTCTGCTCCGTGCTGTCCCCTTGTGGCCAAAAACGAGAACCACCCTTTCCCCGCTGTTCTTTGCTGCCACCTCGTGGTCGTGCCCGGGAAGAGCTTGAGCCATCACTCCTTGCTGGCTCCTGGTGGTCAGAAGCGGGAACAACCCCTGCCTGTTGCTTCCTGCTGCCCCCCGGTGGCCACAGCCGGGAACAGCCTGGCCCGTGGCTCCCTGGCTTCCCCCCTCGTGGCCGCCCCCTGGAACTGCACCCACGTCTCCTGCATCAATTCCCCACCTAGCCCAAAGTTGCACCGCATGCTTGTCCTGCCTCTCCTACCCTGGCGGCTGCCCTTTTCCATGAGCCACCGCAGCCCAGCATCCCCAGACCAACCCGCTGCAGGCGGAGCCCCAATTTCAGAGCCTGTTTTCCCACTGGTCGGCTGCTTTCTCACGACTCCAGTCCTTGGATGGCTTCGTGTTTGCCTTGAACCAGGATGGAAAATTCCTCTACATCTCAGAAACAGTCTCCATATACCTGGGACTCTCACAGGTAAGGCCCCCGGACCCCGATCCCGATCCCGCCGTCATCCTCACTGTGATTGACCTCACTAATCCAGCATGGGGTAGAAAAACAAGGAGGGGGACAGAGACAGAATCTGTGGGTTCCCAAAGTGTGTTCTTTGGACCCCCTACATGGCGGCCAGCGCAGTTCATCTTCCTGGAGTAGGAGGGCAATTTGAGCAGAGCAATGGAAGATCGCTTTATCATTTCCACATTTTGGGCAGTTGGGAAATGCAGTCCACTGAAAATGTGGTATTTGTGATCAGCTTTGAAGGGTGGTGGCAGGGAAAGAAGCGGGGAGCTTCAGTGAATGTGGCATGCCGGGCGGGGTGCGGAGGCCGTGGGAGCGGGGAGGGGCTCTGAACCAAGCGAGGCAGGTCTGTCACTGGGAGAGGGGACAGTGAACAAGGGGCAGAAGTCCAGGTCACCGTGGGGGGTGGGGAGATGGGGACTGGGCTGAGGGAAGTGGAGAGAGGGAAGACCCCCCCCCCAGGGGGGACTGGGAGTTAGGCTTTAATGTGTCTCACTTAAGGGTTTGAGTTTTTCCAAGATTTGGTTTGAGCCAGGCCCTTCTTATTAGAAGCATCAGGGGCAGATCATGGGATCAGAGTAGGCAGAGAGAGGCGCCTAAGCTTGCCTCCTTTAAGGATGTTTTTATAAGAAGCCCACGTCGGGTAGGAAGTGCCCTGCGGTCCGGGCGCAGCTCACCGTCCCGCCTTCCCCGCGGCCGCCGGCAGGTGGAGCTGACGGGCAGCAGCGTCTTCGACTACATCCACCCCGGGGACCACTCGGAGGTGCTGGAGCAGCTGGGGCTGCAGGCCCGGACCCCCGCGCCGCCCACCCCGCCTTCCGCCGCCTCCTCGGCCTCCTCCTCCTCCTCCTCCTCGCTGGCCGACCGGCCTGAGATCGGTAACTCCCGGACACCCCGAGGAGCGAGGCCTGGGGGTGGACAGCCCAGAGCCCGGCTCTCCGGGCAAAAGCAAATGTTTGTGGAAACAGATCCGGGTCCAGGTCCAGGCGGAGCGGGTTGACTTGTGCTAATTGTGCCTTAGAAAAGTCAGGCTCCCCACGATCTGAGATTTGGAAGGCCTCCCTCCGGCTGCTAAGGGAGAAAAGAGGCAGGGGGGCTGAGGGCGTTCAAATTGCACCGGGCTGGGAGCGATCGTCTGGTAAACAGATGGAAATGAGGTACAGCCCAGAGAGGTCAAGTTAGTTGCCCTAGATCACACAGCTGTTGAAAGTTCGAGTTCGATGCAGCCCAGGTTTGTGCTTCAGTAGAAACTTCCACCCCATGGTGGGTGGAATTGGGGGCACTGGAGACTCTCATCTTTGAGCCCTGAAATGCAGGGCCTGAGGCCGTCTCCTGTAAACAGGATTCTACTATGTTGGGGTTCTTGACACGCCAGTCATGCGAGCCTTCCGACAGCAATGCTCACAAGCTTGGGGGTTCGCAACGTGGGGACTGTGGTTTTGACGTGGGGGTCAGTCGTGTGGATTTTAGGAGACCCCTGTATCCCGGAGCTTATAGAACATTCTGGATTTGTGACTTTAGTGTTGCAGCTCCCCATGCGCCCACTCTGTGCCAAGCCCTGCTCTGGGAAGAAGCCTCAGCCACCCGGGGTCCAGTGGGGGACGGGGTGGGCGAGCGAGGGGCGGCTTCCCAGAGACCTGGCCAGGCCCCGGGCGGGGAGGGGACGCGAGGGCCCCCCCAGGTGTCTCCGGATGGAGCTGCGGGCGGGCGGGGTCCCGGCAGGACCCCACAGCGCCGGCCCCTCTGCGCAGAGCCCCGCCCCTCCGGGGCGCGCCCTCCTGCCCGGGCGCAGGAGCGTTCCTTCTTTGTCCGCATGAAGTCCACGCTCACCAAGAGGGGCCTGCACGTGAAGGCCTCAGGGTACAAGGTGGGTGTGCGCTCCGATTTGCCCCGGAGATTGAACCCCGCCAGGTTCAGGGCGGGTGGGGGGGAACGGGTCAGGGAGCTGCCACCCCGGGCCCAAGCCACAGGGCCTGCGGGGGACCAAGCGACCAGGAGCCACGCCTGCTCCCCGGCCACGCCCACCACGCACTGGCCCCGCCTTCCTTTCCATAACCACGCCCACCGCGCTGGCCCCGCCTTCATTTCAACAACCACGCCCCCCGCACTGGCCCCGCCTTCATTTCCATAACCACGCCCACCGCACTGGCCCCGTCTTTATTTCCATAACCCCGCCCACCGTGCACTGGTCCCGCCTTCCTTTCCATAACCACGCCCACCGCGCTGGCCCCGTCTTCGTTTCCATAACCCCGCCCACCGCGCACTGGCCCCGTCTTCATTTCCATAACCACGCCCACCGCGCTGGCCCCACCTTTCCCCCCACTGGCCCGGCAGGTCATCCATGTGACTGGGCGGCTGCGCGCCCGCGCCCTGGGCCTGGTGGCTCTGGGCCACGCGCTGCCCCCAGCCCCGCTGGCCGAGCTGCCTCTCCACGGACACATGGTGGTGTTCCGCCTCAGCCTGGGTCTCACCATCCTCGCCTGTGAGAGCAGGTAGGGGGCTGGGAGTGGCGGGGCCGGGGCCGGGTGGGCCTCCGCAGCGGGCGCGGCGGCTGAGGCCTGGCCCGCGCCCCATCGGCTTGGATGGGGCCTTAAGGGTGGCGGAGAAGCTGCCAGGCCCGGTGGGAATCGAGGGAGGCCCAGCCCCTCCCCAGTTCCTCTCGGGGGTCTCCACAGCGCGGCCTCCCTTCTGCGGCACCCGGGGAAGGGTTCAAGGATGAAGTGGTTTCTAGGCAGTGGCTGGTTCGTAGCCTGCAAGGACACAGGCTGGAGGCTCACCCAGGGAAAAAGCTGTGGAGACCTCACCTCGACCAATAGAGCTGAGCAGAGATGGTTGTGCCTCTAATGGCGACTGTAAGGAACTCCTAATAGGGTTGTAGCTTAAGCCCTATTCAGAAAATAACTAAAGCAAACAAGGGTTAGCGAGGGAGAGGAGTGCAGTGCAGGTTCAACTCCCAGAACTGCCAGAATAGAAACGTTATGTCCATTTTATAGAGAGGTAAACCGAGGCCCAGGGTACTACAGAGCAAGAGCTTGGGTCCTGGGAGCCAGCTCTGTTGGTCTCCCCATCCGTGCTCCCCAGCACCTCCTCCCTCCTCTCTGGCCTCCCTAGGGTGAGCGACCACATGGACCTGGGCCCCTCCGAGCTGGTGGGCCGCAGCTGTTACCAGTTTGTTCATGGACAGGATGCAAGCAGGATTCGCCAGAGCCACCTGGACCGTGAGACACCTCGGTCCCCACCCACCACCCTGTAGACTATATATTCTCTCTGGTCTCCCCTGGTCCCCAGTTCCCCATCCTCTAGGGCTGACCATGGTTGCTCCTGCTGTACCTAAAGCTCCAGGGGTTTAATTCCACATAGAGGGACAGCCAGGAGACTGGGCAGTGGTGCAGAATTGGGGGGGGGGATGCAAAGAGGACAGGGGAGGTCTTTCCTGACTCCCCCTGTCAATGCAGGAGGCCTGGCTGCTGGGGTCCCAGTTTTCTCTGACTGGCTGTCTCCCTCTCTACTTTTGTCTTTCTCCCCTTTTCCTTCCACCTGTTCCCCCCCCACCCCGCTCATCTTTCCTTTCCTCCCCACCTATCTCTTCCCCTCCACCTCTCTCTCTCTCTGCTTTGCCCTTACCCTGTCCTTCTGGTCTTTGCTCGTCCCTGGGCTGGGCCCAGTGCTGGACAAGGGTCAGGTGGTGACTGGTTATTACCGCTGGCTGCAGCGAGCTGGGGGCTTCGTGTGGCTGCAGTCCGTGGCCACTGTGGCTGGGAATGGGAAGAGCCCAGGGGAGCACCACGTGCTGTGGGTCAGCCACGTGCTCAGGTGAGCACCACTGCACCGCCAGTTGCCTCTCAAGGATCCCAGCACAAGGACCTTCAGGGAACGGTCCTGCAAACATGGAGAGAATAGCCAAAAGCCAGGCATGGTGGTGCCTGCTTGTAATCCCAGCACCCAGGAGATGAAGGCAGGAGGAATTTGAGGCCAGCCCAGGGTGAAAAGCAGAATACACACAAAAGGGTTGGGCTGGGGTTCGAGTGGCAGAACACTTGCCTAGCTAGCAGGTGCAAGACTCTCGACTCCATTGCAGGATTGGGGGAAAAAGATCAGGGACCTGGGGTGAGGCAGTGTTGCTTGCTAGAGACAGAGGAGTCCCTGGCAGGGGGGGGGGATGAGCTGGAGGTGCCTGGTGACCCCTCAAGCTGCCTTCTTAGGAACCAGCTTGCAGTTTGTAGGTCGGGAAACGGGCACACACGCTGTGTTTGCTGGTGGGGTACAGTGGAGGGAAGAGGAATAACAGGGCGGGAGCCTACCCTCTGCTGAGACTGAGACCCCCGGCTCAGTCTCATTCTCTTGTCCTCAGCCATGCAGAAGGCGGCCAGACCCCTCTGGATGCCTTCCAGCTTCCGGCCAGTGTGGCCTGCGAGAACCCGCCCAGCCCAGAGCCAGAGCCCGCAGGTAGGCCCGCCCCGCCTGCCCCGCAAGCCCCGCAGCCTTGGCTACTCGGGCTGTGTGGAGTGGAAGCCACCAGCAGCATGTGGCCGAGGGCTTTCAGAGCGCTCCTCCTGCAGAGGGGGCCCCTCCGGAGGACGGGGAGCAGGCTACCCCCACCGAGGACGAGACCCCACCGGTCAGGGGCAAACGCATCAAAGTGGAGCCGGGCCCCAAGGAAAGGAGGGGCTCTGAGGACAGCACAGATGAGGAGCCTGCGGCCCCCCCACGACCCGAGTTCACATCGGTTATCCGCGCGGGAGCGCCAAAGCTGGACCCAGTGCGGTCATGGGGCCTGGCGCCTCCCGGGGACCCTGCACCCGCCCTCCTCCACGCGGGCTTCCTGTGCACGCCGGGAGGCATTGGTGCCATCCGCTATGGCCCCGCCGAGCTGGGCCTCATGTACCCACACCTGCAGAGGCTGGGCCCAGGGCCAGGGCTCCCTGATGCCTTCTATCCCTCCCTTGGCCTGCCCTACCCCGGGCCCGCGGGGGCCAGGGTGCAGCGGAAGGGGGACTAAAGACTGGACTTGGGAGGGCCGCGCTGCACCCCACCCTAGGCCCAGGCCTGCATCTGGTCTGGAGAATTAAACACCTGCTCCTCTTGGGGATGTCAGGGTCCCTGTCTGCATCTGGCTCACCTCCCCCTGGTCCTCCCCTCCAAGTACACGGAAGCACTACCACAACCAGGGTGGGCGAAGGCTCAAGTTTTAATGTCCCAGTGCTCCAGCCCGGGCCAGCCAGTGCCCAGCTGGTCTTCACCCCGTGGCTTACTCGGGTGGCGGCCGGCCTGCTTCATCTCGGCCTTCAGTGGTGCTCGTCCCCTCGTCCTCAGGCACCAGCTCCACGTCCAGCTCAAGCTGGCCCATGTAGAGGCCCACAGCACAAGCCCAGAGCAGACTGGCGGCCAGCACAGCCCCCATGCCTGCTGCTGCGCCCCCCAGGGTCAGCTGCATGGGTCCCCGCAGTGAGGCCAGGCCCACGGCGTAAGAGGCGCTGCCCCACACCACACACAGGCCACCCAGCAGGAAAAATCCTAGAGGGAAAGAGGGAGCGCAGTCAATGGGGGTGAAATCAGTGGGCACAAGGGGGGGGGGGCATGCAAATCCATGGGAGAGAGGAGCATAAGCTCAGAGCCAAGGACACTAGCATGGAATGAATCAGGGACTTAAGGGTGGCTTCTGGGAGCCAGGACAAGCCTGGAGGTGGAGGGGCAGGCGTATGTGAGGGACTGGAATCCCCATGTTTGAGAAAATGGAATGGGGAGTCCCAAAGCTAAGTCTGGGCCACCCCCTCAGCTGGGACCAATGCCCATGGGGACATGGTGGGGGAAGAGAAGAGGGTTTAACATACACAACTGGGGGAGGCATGAAACAGTCTACCCCGGGATGAGGGTCTCCCCATTCCCCATTCGTTTATGGGAGGTGACACCAGAGCGGTTCTGCACTCACCGTAGGCTGCTTCCCGGCCCATGTCACTCTGCATGAAGGAGATGACCCCGATCCCAGAGGCCAGAAGGCCATTGCGGAACCAGGAGAGGAAGGCTGCGGGAGGGAGAATGGACTGTGGTCAGGGCAAACACTGCCTGCTCCAGACTGCCTCCCACCCCACCCCACCTCACCCCAGATCATCCAAGTCCCCTCCATCCATCCAGTCAAGAGGCAGCCTCACCTCTCCTAGGAAGACCCCTGTAGTCCCACCTGGAAATCTTTTAACCTCATTTGATCCCCTCTTCCCCCAAATTCTGCAAAGATTTAATAAGACGGTCAGGCGCTCATGGCTCACACCTGAAATCCTAACCATTCAGAAGGCTGAGATCTGAGCCAGCCTGGGTAGAAAAGTCTGTGAGACTATGATCTCCAATGAGCTAACAAAAAGCCAGAAGTGGAGGTGTGGCTCAAATGGTAAAACACCAGCCTTGAGTGGAGCTAAGGAACAGCACCCAAGTCAAATTGGGGGTGGGGGGGAGAGAGAGAGGGAGACCCTCGTGTAGACCTCCGGGCCAGTTTCCCCTACACACGTTTCTCTCCAGCTCCCCCCCCCCCCCCCACACACACCTTCCTTCTAAACGCTACCCTCTCCCAGCAGGGGTGGGCGTCCTCCCCCTATCCACATCTCCCCTCGCTCAAGGCCTAGGTGATGCCAACGGGCTGGTCCCAGCACCAGTGTTAAACCAATCCGCGCCAGGCCGTGACGCCTGTCCCTCCAATCAGCTGGCATCTCTTGTTCTATTGGCTGTGCCCGTCTCCAATCAGGAGCTTGCCCATCAGTGCGGGGAGCCACACGCCCCGCGCAGCGGTCGCCTCTGCAAGCCGGACGGACCCGCACTCTCGGCGGCCCCCGGGAGCCTCTCTCTCATGCAGGCAGGGCAAATCCCATCCAGCCACCCGCCCCCAGCCCAGCTGCACCCCATTAATCCAGTCCCACCTCCTCCCGGCAAGCCCGCGCGCCCCAGGCGGACAGCCCGCGCCCTTGCAACCAGCTCCTCTGCGTTTCCACGTCCCTGCCGAGCCCCGGCCCCGTTGGGAGGTGGCGCAACCAGGGTGCTTGTTTGTCCGTGGCCGCTGCCAGGCCACCCCGCAGCCCGCTCGCCTCCTCCTGGAGACCCCAGCCCCTCCACAGACCTGTCTCGTGCGCCTTTCGGAGGAGCCAAGCGTCTGCGCGGTCCAGTTCGGACACTGGGGGTGGCGAAGCCCCGGCGCGGGGGCCGTGGCCGGGGGCGAAGGACCCCCGGGCACCCCCGCTCCGGGGCCGCTGAGGTGGCAGCAGCGACCCCCGGAAGCGGAGTCGGGCCAGGCGGGCGGCCCGAACCCACCACCAGCCGCCTCCCATGGTTCGCACTAAGGGCCACTGCGCGCTGTCCCGCCCCACGGATCACTCGTAGGCTGTCGTGCACATCACTCAGGCTGCGCAGCGTTCCTATTGGTTTGTGTCTCCGTCACTCATACCCGGCGGACACTGCACATTGGTCAAAATGGCAATGACTCCCACCTTTGTCATCTATGCCGGTAGTGTGCGTCCTACCTTGCTCTTGTAGCTAGACTACGAATCCCAGAGACGATTGCGTCCGGGAAAGGTTGGTCGTCAGAAGCCCGTGGCGCGGTGTCTCCTGGGACTTGAAGTTTTTAACTTTACTTCCAACGGCTGGAAAACTCGATTATTAACGTAGAACCTTGCAAAACGTAGTGGAGCCTAGCAAGTTTCATCAGTAATCTCGCCAAGGAGAGATTATGAATACTATTTCCTTGTATTCCTGTTCAGTCTTACAGTTTTCCCCCCCACTTGTGTTGTTGTTGTTGTCATGGGACTTGAACTCAGGGCCTGGGTGCTATCCCTAGGCTTTTTCCAAGGCCAGAGCGGTACCACTTCCGGTCTTCTGGTGGTTAAGGTATGAGTCTCGTGGTATTTCCTGCCTGATCTGGCTTCCAATTACGATCCTCAGTTCTCAGCCTCCTGAGTAGCTGGGATTACAGGTGTGAACCACTCTCTCTTCCCCCACAACCCCCGCTTTATTCTCCCCATATTTCTTTCTTTAAAATACCTATTTGAGTGGTGCTGTGGCTCAAGTGGCAGAATGCCACTCAGGGACAGTGCCCAGGCCCCTGAGTTAAGAGCCCCACAACTGACAAAATAAAATACCAATTTGGGCTGGGAATGTGGCTTAGTGGTACAGTGCTTACCTACCTAGCATGCACGAAGCCCTGGGTTTGGTTCTTCAGTACCGCATACATAGAAAACACTGGAAGTGGCGCTTGTGGCTTAAGTGGTAGAGAGCTAGCCTTGAACATAAGAAGCTCAGGGACAGTGCCCAGGTCTTGAGTTCAAGCCCCAAGACTGGCAAAAACAAAAACAAAAAACCTATTTTGGTCTGAGGACCATCCATAGTTTGAATCCAGCCCAGGCAGAAAAGTCTAAGAGACTCAGCACTAATTAACTAGCAGAAAAAGAGAAACCAAAACCTACAAATGCTGAAGGCCTGGCTCAAGCAACAGAGCACCAGCCAATCAAGGTAAGCAATGGGCTGGGAAGGTGGCTCAGTGGTAGAGCACTTGCCTTGCATGCTTGAGGCCCTGGGTTCGATTCCTCAGCACCACATAAGCAAAAAGAAAAAAGCCGGAAGTGGTGCTGTGGCTCAAGTGGTAGAGCGATAGCCTTGAGCTGAAGAGCTGAGGGACAGCGCCCAGGCCCAGAGTACAAGCCCCACGACTGGACCCAAAAAAAAAAAAAAAGGTAAGCAAGCCTAAGGCCCAGAGTTCAAGCCCTGGTAGTGTGGGGGGAGAGGGAGGGACAGCTAGAAATAAAAACAGTATGACATTCCTATAATCAATAGGCTTTAGTGTGAACTGAAAGTACTTGAGGTGCATTTTACACATTGGCTACCAAAAAGGTTTACACTAGTGAGAAAACAGTACTAATGTGAATGCCAGAAAGGATGTTTCTTTCTTGCACTGTCCCTTAGCTTTTTCTGCTCAAGACTGGTGGGTGCTCTACCACTTGAGCCACAGATCCACTTTTCTAACTTTCTGCTGGTAAGAAGTCTACAGGTTTCACCTGTGCCCAGCCCACCCCACCTTCCTCTGCTTCTCCCTCAGGCCAGGGGAGGTATGGGCAGCACAGAGACTAGGGCTGGCAGGCTTTAAAATAACTGCATCCTTTATTGGCAGTAATACAATTATTGGATTAAGAGACCACAGGAGAAGAGGCAGGTGAGTTTCTGGAAGACAGATGCGGAGTACAAAAGGGGCTGGGTAGTCATGCGGCGATCATTGTAAAAATACAGTACATTATATACATATTTGCACCATCAACTTTCAACTCGGAAATAGTATTTACACTCTTGTTACAATCCTGGTTAGAGAGCAATTTCTTTAAAAGCACTGCCTGGTGCCAAGCAGGAATCAGGGTTCCTAGTCCCATGAGGTGCTTAGGCTGAAGGCTCCAGGGGGCTCCAGCTTCGATTTCATCCACAGATTACGGTTTTTAAAAAAGCATTTTTCTTTTACAAAAAAAAAAAGTAAAAGGGGGGGAAAAAAAAAAACACCAACACCGCCACACTGTGTATGGTCACTTACCTACACACGTGGCCCTTGTGTTCACGGCCCACACTGGTGGCTGACGACAAATCTCATGAATGATTGCTTAAAAAAACAAATCAAAACAACAAAAGACCAACCAAGCCAACCCCAAGGGGCTGTGGGCCCTGCCAGGCACCAGGCTCTCCTACCCCAGCTTTAAGCCCAAATTCATTGCTTTGCCTTTTCACGTTTTCTCTTGGGGTGGCAGAAGAAGAACCTTTGGCTGGGTGACCAGATCTCATTATTAGCAAGGAAGAGCCAGGGACCTTGGGTGAGGCAGTGGGACGGAGGATCAGTGGCATGAGGAGAAAAAGGGGCCCAGAGGCAGGGAGGCAGAAAGGCCTGAAAGCCTGAAGTCAGAAGGAAGAGTGGGGTGGGGCGGGTGGGGGGGGGGGGGAGGCTACTGCAAACTTCTGTGCCCTGCTCAGGCATGGCTGGTGTCTTCCCACTGCAGTGGGGGGTCCCCTCCAGGCCCAGCCACACTGCTCCCTTCCTCAGGCCCCCTTCTGCAAATGTCCACAAATCCAACACTGCGCCTCACCGCTGAGCCCGTGGTCTGTCGGCTTGGGAGGGGGGAAGCGAAACTGCACTGCCTCAAGCCTTAGAGGCAGGGCTGGCAGCGAGGGGGAGAGCAGGCAGGGCACCAGGGCCTGGCCGTAGCCCTCCAAGGCCGCTGCTCCGGAGGCCGGCGGGTGGCAGCGCTGCGGATCCTTGAGCTGTCTCTGGGGACGGGGCTGGGGCCGGCAGTGCTGGGGCATCTGCGGCCCACAGCGTGCGGGCTGGGGCAGGACGGGTAATACTGACAGAAAGCACACTCCGAGGGGCTTCCTCCTGGGGGAGATGCACCCCAGGTCCGTCTGTCCCTGTCTCCCATGGGCGCTGGTGGGTGGTGCTTTCAGGATGAACTCTGGACGGAGGGCGCAGAGCCCCAAGTGCAAATTCATGAACAGAGTGGGCCAGAAGGCCTGGCCACCTCTAGGGCTTCCTCTCCTGAGGTGACAGTGGCTTCACGCCGAGGGAACAGGACAGACGCATGGGCTCCACTTTTCCTTGTCCAGCAGTGCGGGAGCCCTGGGAGCCCCAGCAGCAGCCGCGGCCGGGGTGACGGATCAGAACGGAGGTGTTATGTACAATTTATGTCTCAAAGAAAGGACTACGTAAGAGGAAACGAAAAGAGGGGGAAAAGAAAAGAACACCCAGGACCCCCCAGCTCTGGAGACTGCCCTTAAGTCTCACCCTGGAAGGGCTGGAGCGGGGGGAGCACGGCCCCCCCTCAACACTACTGGCAAAAGGGGGAGGCAGTGGGGTCAAAGCCTTTGAAGACATCTTTCAGGGACCCCGCGTCCGGCTCGCCCTCGCGGGATGGGCTGTTGCCGGCAAAGGGGCTCCCTGAGCCGGACTTGGGGGCTGGCTTCACGGTCCCAAAGAGCGTGGGCACGGGTAGGTTATGCACTCCCGGCTGGGGCGCGGCCCCCTCTGGTGGCGGGGTGCCGGTGGAGGCGGTGGAGGCCACAGCAGCCTTGGGCCGAGGCCGGTTGTAGCTGTTGTACCTGTCCGTGGCCGCAGCACCCGCGTCGGCCCCGGGCTTCCCCGCATCCGGCTGCTCCAGGGCTGACTTGCGCACGAAGGGGGGCTCCTTGGCTTTGGAGGCTGAACTCTTGCCGTTGCCCTCGGGGCCCTTGGGCTGGGCGCCTGCCTCCGCAGCCGGCTCTGAGGCTTTGCCCCCCGTGTTGGGAGTCCTGGGGTCATACAGGCTGATGCCGCTCAGCACGCTGCTCTGCCCGCTCCCGCCGCCCTGGCCCAGGCCGCCGGCCGCCAGCACGCGGGGGTCGTAGGGTGCCGTGGCTGGGGGGGACGACTCCCGGCTGGGGCTCCCCGTGGGGGGCGAGGTTTCCGGGGCACAGGGCTTGGCGACGCGGGCCGCAGCCGCCGCAGCGGAGTCCACCGGCTTCTGCAGCCGCGGGTCGGCGGGCGCCTTGCGCACCCTGGGATCGCTGGGCTTGTCGCCAGCGCCGGGGGCGTTGACGTTGACAGTCTTGAGGATCCGAGACAGCAGCTCGAAGTCAGGCAGGTTCGAGCCCGAGCTGCTGGAGTCCGAGGAGGCCCCTGCGCGCTGCCGGGTGTTGGGGGGCCCTGCAGGGCTGGAGCGGTGCAGCCTGGGATCCAGGGCGGGCAGGGACTGCAGGGCGGCAGGCACAGGGGGCACCACGTCCTGCTTGGGGATGGGCAGGGGGATGAGGTCCTCGGGGTTCCAGAGCACAGTGCGGGCGAAGCTGGGCTTGCTCAGGGTCACGTCCTTCTTGATGTGGCTGAACTGCTGCAGCTGCGACCGTGGGTCCCGCAGGGGGTGTCCGGGGAGGGGGTCCAGGGGGATGCTGACCGCCTTCTCCCGCAAGGCGCGCTCCCCCTCCTCCTCTTCCGCAGGAGGCGGTGCAGACCCCTTGGAGCTGCTGGGGCCCGCAGGGTTGGCATGGGTGCTGCCATCAGTCTTGGAGGCTGGCAGGGTGCGAGCCAGTCGAGGGTCAGAGGGCCCCGTGTCCCCAGGGCCAGCGCCGCCGGCAGCCTCGGCGTGGCGGGTGAGCCGGGGGTCCCGGCTAAGGCGGGGGTCAGCCAGCCGGCCTCCTGCGGAGTGTCCCTTCTGGAGGCGGGGGTCTCCCAGCCCACTGCTGCTCAGCTCCCCGACAGAGGCCTGGGGCCGGCTGGATGACTGCTGCCTGAGGGTCTTGAGGATGGACGTGACGCTGCTCCCACCCTCGTCCTCATCGCTCGAGTACCAGTTGCCAGTGTCTCCTAAGA